TTCAGGTTTAGTAAGCGTACTAAACCCTAAAAGGGTTTTTTACTAAACTTTTGAAGCGGTAGCGTGTCATTGCATTTTGCTAAACCCCTTTTGGGTTTAGTAAATGACGCTTTTTTTTTAGAGTGTATGCGGACGTCGAAAGCAACGTTTTATTTGATGCATTTTTAAGTTCATCAGAAAGCAGGTGTTGTACTTGATCCTTAGCGGTTTTATGAGAAAAAGACTACAAAGTAGTTATGTGCAAGAATTACTCAATACTGCATCGAACATTCTGAAATAATTACAATAATTAAGCAACACATAGAAAAAATAAGTGAAAAAAATTCCGCAAGTCATCATTCAAAAACCTCATAGACAGAAAATGCGTTCAGTTAATCGAAGGTAACATTGCCTAATTTAGGAATGCATTTTATATGTATTTATTGAGTATCTTGCCCTTGTCTTCATTATTTTTTAATAGTTCTCTCTGTGCATTTCTTAGAGAAGGAGCATACGACGTTTTAATTGTTTAATTTGTCTTCCTGACGCATAATTAACTAAAGATCACACTTCTTTGAGGAATAATTGACATGATCTGATATTGTAGAGCGTACATTCTCAAAATCAGACACAGCTTTTTGATATTTATTTGCCTGTAAAGAACTATCTAATTTAGTTTTCTTATACTGTTTGAGCACATTGTTCATCTTGTTAAAGAGTTTTCTTAGCGAATCGCTAAACCAAATTTTATCTCTCGCTTTCGTAGTGAGAATTTTGTGAGGAACACGATTGTTTACTTGTTCTACAACTATATCTTGGAAAATACTCATTTTCTCGTCAATAGAAGAATAATTTTTAAACGTGTTTTTCTTGAATAAAAAGCGATTTTACCAAAACTCATCCTAAACACAAAAATATGACTTTTCGTCTTCGAACAGCAGAAATAGCGAATCTATGGAACTTTGATATAAGCTTTATTCTGTCAGAATACAAGCGGAAAATATTCCATTATAGTATTCTAAACTAAAACTATCGAAAAACACAAAATCAATGGAACTTTCCCGTTCGGATGTTAAAGCAGGTTATTTTCCTTCAAAGTAAAACAAATCCAATCTTAAAATATTTGATTCTGGCTGAGTTATGAAATTTTTCCTAAGTGACCTCAAACTGTAGTTTGAAACTGAGGATTTTTGGCAAAATCGATAAAAGAAAACAAATCTCTTTCCCAACCTCTTGTGATTATGAAGAATTTTAAATATAGCAGGTTAGTAGAACTTTTCAATGGCTATAAAATGACCGTCGTCTGTTTTATTATATTGCAAAACATAAAGGATCAAAATTGAAAAAACTATTTTTTGACCTAGGAAGTAGTCGAGATTTCATATTTGTCGTATTTCGTTCATATTCTCTTATTTTTTAAGGTATATAGAAAAATGTTCACTGTGTACGTTGTAGAGGACTAAATGACGAATCTTCTAAAAATGAAATTAAAATTCTACTATATTTCTGGACTGACCAGGGAACCTCCCAAGGTGATAAATCGCTTTTTGATCGACATCTAGTGGGTTATAGGTTATCAACCATGCTGATTTCTAATATGACCCCCATAGCTCTTCGAAGATCCAGTCTTCTGTAAAACCAGTTTTTCAGAAACCCCAAAAATAACCCAAGCTTTTCTTAACAGTTCAGGATTGTAGCGCGCAAATTTCTGATTAAAATGAAACATCCCCCAGCTCTACTTTCTTTGCAAAGTTATAGAATTTATAACAAGAGCCCTAAATTTTTCATTGTCAGCTCAAAGCTAAAGAAATAAGAAGGAAAAAATTAATTTAGGGCTCTTCTTATAAATTCTATAACTTTGCAAAGAAAGGTCGTGTAGAGCTGGGGGGTGTATCATTTTAATCAGAACTTTGCATGCTACAATCCTGAACTGTTAAGAAAGGCTTAAGTTATTTTTTTTAAAAACATCTTGTGGTCGTTTTACTTGTTGAAGGTGAAAATAATCGACATTTGTAGTTTACAACTTTTACTATTTTACTTTGATTCATTGACCCTATACTCATATACAAATAACTTTTTAACAGTAAAAATATAAATCAATGGATTAATTAACATTGAAATTTTTGCTAATAAAGCTCCCAGTGTAAATAGAAAAACATATTCAAATGCTGATGCTTTACCATAAACGATTTTAATTATGCCGATTACAGCATACGGTGTCCAACTGAGAATAAATTCTGAAACAATAATGAGAGCTGCTAAAGCAAATCGATAATCAATATTCATTTGTTTTAAATATCGTCGTCGAAGGGTAAGCCTTTTTCCAGACGTTAACGGACTTTTTGTGTCAAATTTCATTGAACGTCGCACAAATTGATAAATGAGAATATTCATGCACAATAACAATGTTAACGGCAGAGCATAGACGAATAAACAAGCAAATATGAAAAATATTTTACTTCGAAATGATGGATCTAACCAGTAATAAGCACAATGGAATCCTATACCTTCGGGGAAATACGGATTTAAACCAAACAATGATGGTAATGTCCAGATTAATGCAACAAGCCAGCATCCCACGACAATATACAAACCGTGATATTTCGATACTGTTGATAAATATCGATTATTTGAAACAACAAGGTATCTCAGAACACTCATTGTTGATAATAAATAAATTGTTGTTATACAACTCAAATACGAAATAAAACCTTCTAACTTACATAAAAATTCAATACAATATTGTCGACAAAGAAAACATTGAACTAATACAATTGGAATTTCAATTAATAATATACATATTGAATTAATGAACATATTTAGAACTAGAAAATTATAACGCAATTGATGACGACCGTGACGATATTGATTCAGAAACCAACGACCAAATTGAATATTAAATTTTAGGCTAACCAAAACAGAAAATAATAATATAAAACCAAATAAACGACTGACGATGCAATCCATACGATCTGTTTCATCCTCACTACCTAGACATTTTAATCGATATTGTATTCCTTGTCCGGCTACGAACAAAAAACAAACGAAAACAAAATCCAAGTCTGTGACGTAAAAGTCGTTGTTAGACACAATAAAAGACGTGTCGTTTTAGAAATACTGCGCATTAAATCACATGCATATATGTATAAGCCCATAAGTCTAATGCTTCCTTCGTACCGATGTTGCTGTGCGAACGAAATGTCTCATTTTAGTTCTGCCAAGCCCAAGCAAAAAACTGGAGCGTTTTTCCTCTTGAGAGTTCTTAATTTCGAAATGATACCCTTTCTAGCTAATAATTAAAGCTATTGAGCAAGGCTGAGTAAAACTAGGTGAGTCATTGACTACTTTATGGAACAAAACATTTCCCAAAACAGCCAGTGCACATACCCAACGACTGACTGTCAAAACCCACTCACGAGGGAACCTTTCCAGGTGTCCAACTGCTTTTCTAGCGAAATGCGGTAGTTTATAGGTAATCGACCATGCTGATTTCGAAAATGATAGCCGTTTTTGCCCATAGGCCTTTCCTAACCGGTTTCTAGAAACTGGTTTCCCAGAAACCTCGAAAAATGCCCAAGACTTTTTTCTAAATAAGTCATGACTGGAGCCCGCAAATTCTGATTAAGATGAGACATCTCCTAGCTCTACACCACCTTTCTTTACAAAGTTATAAAATTCACAAGAAAAGCCCTAAATGTTTATTGTCACCTCAGAGCCAGAGAAAGAAGGAAAGAATAATTTAGGGCCTTTCGTGTGAATTTTATAACTTTGTAAAGAAAGGTCATGTAGAGCTGGGAGATGTCTCATCTTAATCAGAATTTCGCGGGCTTCAGTCACGACTTATTTAGAAAAAGTCTTGGGCATTTTTCGAGGTTTCTGGAAAACCAGTTTTCTAGAAACCGGCTTGAAAACGCCTGTCATATTCGGAATCAGCATGGTCAATTACCTATAAACTGCCGCATTTCGTTAGAAAAGCAATCGGACACCAGGAAAGGTTCCCTCGTCCCTAAGTCATTAAAAACTTAAAGCAGAGACATAAGGAGGCCGGGAATATATGACCACTAAGCGTCTTTCTCGTTCACACGTCCTCCATGCGACTGCAATATGACCTGTTCTATATGCCTACTAGTAGACACACTGAAGACATATGGCAGAGGCAATCTAGTCACACAAAAGACATTTAGTCGATATTTACAAGTGAAAAACGACTGACGATTTCGATGCAAACAACTGTTAAAAGTAAAAGACCGTTGCACTTCAACTTTAGAGGATAGCTAAATCGATCTTCGTAGAGAAAGAGCAACATGTTCACTTTAGCTTCTTATTCGAGATTAGAAGATCGTATCAAGCTAGAAGAATCATAGGACCTACGATCACGAATTGAGAGATCTGAAAGCCGTTTGCAGTTCTGATCGTACTGAGAATTAACTTTCTTGAAATAAAATACACAGATTTTCGTTTTCTTCTTGCATGAATGCAACTGGATCATTAAAGAAATTCTCTGAATGTTGATTCTAGACCTTCAAGATTTTCTGAAAAATCTCAAGGATCCACATATAAGTGTGAAAACTTTTCAGCCAACGAACAATTGCTACCAGCACTATATAAAAAAATGCGACTTCCTGGAAGACACATAAGTCAGAACCAAATTTGGAAACATAACGAGAAGAAATCGGTTCAGGTGGTTTGGCCACGTAAACAGGTGTGAATAAAAAGCCGAAATTATTAAAGAAAGTTGTTTCCGTATTTTACTGATGCTCGAAGACCTCAAAATGTAGGCGTAAGGAAACGATGGGAAGATAAAATCGCAGATGATATTGCCAAATTTGGAATCAAGAACTAGCGGAGGGAAACTATGGATAAGGACAAGTGGCGTCAGATTATCAACAAATACGTACAAATCAAACCCGTACATTCGAATATTCAAAAGCTTGTACATGAAGATAAGGAACTAGCAAATCAGCGACGAGCAGAAGAGCTGGCTCGAAGTAGTCAAGTTAACACAATCAGTACTGTAATTAGTCAAACTCCACCAATGTCGACCGGAGCGGTCACAAATATCTGTCACAAATATCTGTCCCAATTGTGGTCCAGTGTGTAAAAATCAACGAGGTGTAAAGGTTCATCGACGAACTTGTAATAAAAAAGTAGTTAAACAAACTCCAATGTGTCAAGGATTGGTATAAGAGACATGAGATTAGGGTGGATTAAATGAAAATACTCACGATTTACCGAGAAGACTGAACGACAGTGATTTGGTAAAATGATGGGTACCTCCAAAACCAGATCCATGTGTGGTGTGAAGGTGGTATGCGGATGTTACACCATATCATGGATGGTTTTACGACGAGTGAAAATAAAAAAATCTGATAAAACTTTTACGTTCTCTTGAGCGCAACCAAATTCAAGACCTTATAAGCCTCTTTCTTTTTTTGTTTTCTCATCTTTTTTGATCTTCACCCTACACCGGTTTTCGGTATGGGTATGTTCTTCTTCAGATCCTAAACGCCACATTTTAGTGTCTCCTTTGAAAATACACGATGCAACTTTACCTGGTAGTCACTTTATAGCGTCTTTATTCTAGCCGCATTAGAGATACGTAAGTCGGATTCCATTTAGTCGTATTGCAATTATTAGTCTTATGGGTCTCTTACTGTGACGTTTCATGTGAGACTTCAATTAAAAACTTAAAGCAGAGACATAAGGAAGCCGGGAATATATGACTACTAAGCGTCTTTCTCGTTCACACGTCCTCCATGCGACTGTAATATGACCTGTTCTATATGCCTGCTAGTAGACACACTAAAGACATATGGCAGACGCAATCTAGTCACACAAAAGACACTTTTTCTCGGTAGACACATCGCCAAAGTCACATTTTTTAAGAGTGTAGAAGCCGTTTTTTCACGTCATGTCATTTAGTTTAAAATTGCGTTATACTCACCAATAATATTTGTATTAGTATTGTTCATCTTTATTACTACTTCTTCTGACGCTGAACATGCAGGTTTACTCTTTTTATGTAGTTAGAACTAACAATTCTCAAACCTTCTCTACTATTCTATTTTCTTCTGCTTTTCGTATATTCCTTTTTCTGCATTTGACAGATTTATTGCTATTTCAAGTATTCCCATCCTTCTCGTTAATTAACGTTTTCTACATACCTTTATAATTTGGATCTTTTAATAGAATAAGTTATATAGTTTATTCTAAGACCTCATTCCACTGGAAACTTTATCTACAGTATTGTGAAAAATTATAGGATCAGATGAATACTACTCATTCTTCTCTTTCATTAACGTTTTCTGCATACCTTTATAATTTGGATCTTTTAATAGAATAAGTTATATAGTTTTCTCTGCGACCTCATTCCACTTATCTACAGTTGTTAGAGCATGGCACGTATCATAAGCAACCTGACTATAGCTGTGAAGAATTTATTGGACAAAAACGCCTTGTGTACAAAACGAGGTGATAATAGTAAAGTAAAAGAAGGTGACGAACGATCGAAAGAAACAGATAAATGCGAATGTCCTGTTTTACTGTGATCTAACAGCAAGGGAAAAAAACGGACTTCAGGACTTCGAAGTCCTCTGAAGTCTTGAAGTCCACTAAAGTCCGATGAAGTCCATGGAAATCCCATAAAGTCTGTTGGAGTCCCTTAAAATAACCTCTCGCACTTTGGACAGCATTTTTTAAACGAGACATATGGAAATGAAATTAGTACAAATTTGGTTAACTTCATTTCGAAAACTATCAGGAATCATGGTGGTGTCAGCACAATATTTAAAGATATTATTTGTTATTCGTAAATTAATGTTAGTGTAGTAAGATCATCCGTATGTGACATGATATGCCATGTTTAAGAAAAATGTAACTTCCCAATTTACAATGTTGTGCTAGCGAAGTGATCTGTGATGTCATGTGTCAAAATCGCCTGGTAGAGCATGATAAATCAAATCTAGCTAGCTTCAAAAATGACTAACGATTGTTCCCCGAGAAGAGGAATCATTGTGTATCAAATGGTCGTATATATCGTCGGAAGTTTGTCATGATCTAAATCTTGGCTAGCGTTCTCTAAAAAAGTAATGGTAGGCTATAGTTTTGACCTTAAACTTTTAGTGTATAATCGAAGCGCCTATAATCAATTTAGATCCATTAATTAGTTTTTATAAAAACTGCAAATTCCATAGTTAACAATCAGAAGAGTTGGAGTTCAACCTCTTTGGTTCAGTGGCTGTTCTGATAAGACTTCTTTATAATGCCTTATTTCGTTTTTCCGAAAATTAAATTCTGTTTTTTCTTCGCAGTACCATGATAAGTTTGTGAAACTCACAGCTCTTGAGGTCCGTCAACCTACAGAGTACGGAGCGCCTTCTGTTAGGTCTTATTAACAAGAATTCACAAACAGTACAAAGTTTAAGACATAGCAGTCGTATCGCTAATAAACAAATTTTAACGGATAATGATTCTAATTCTCTGTTCGATCCAAGGGTGTAATCGGTAGCAAAAATGCGGTACCGGTGCCGGTCATCGGTATACAAACTTCGTACCGGCACACGGTGGGAATTCAGGCGGAAATTTGAGCAAAAATCGACAAGTGAGCTTTTTTGAATTCGAACAGTAGTAAATGTAGTCCTTGAAAAGCGCTATCGAATGGTATATAATGATCGACTAGTAATGAACTC